AGCTCTTTCGAATATACTAACCATTCTCTATCACACTTCTCCAAATTTGATAAAGTTCTTGTATATAAAGCTGTAGAAAATCGTCTACCAAATTTATCATAGGGACCATACATAATACTATTATCTCTTTTAGGACCTTTCTCAACCAAAATTTTAATCTCATCAGAATTAAGTTTTTCCCATCTTCTTGGATCATATATATCAACAAGCTCTTTAACAGCCTCATGCTTTTCTGTCTCCTATACTTCTACATGCTCTTGATCTTCAATGTGCTCTTCAACATGTTCTTCAATGTGCTCTTCAAGAGGTTGTCTATGGATAAACTTATCTAGAGCATTTGCGTCAACCTTTCTCTTTTCTTCATCTAGTTTTCTCTTTTTACGTTTTTGATAACCGGATGGTTGTTTAGACTTCATCCCTACAAGTTCATTAGTTTCAACTTTCAACATTCAAGCAATTACAATAAACATAATTTGACAAACAATTTTACAATAAACATAAACTTATAATTTAAACTACTAAACTGATTTCTATGAATCTTATAAACTAATATATTCATTCACTATTCTATTAAACTGATTTCTATAGTAGATAAACCGATAATAAAATATTAAATTCATTCAATATTCAATTAAACAGATAATCTATTAAAGTATGAATCATTCAAGTATGCAATTGACAACTATAAACTTGATAATCCTACCTGATTGGCTGATAATCCTTAATTTCTCAATTCTCATAAATCAATTTTTCATAAATCTTAGTACCTTACCTGATCGTCTAGACGCCTACCCTTGCTGAATCGTTGAGCCGTTGACTGAGTTGCTGTTTATACGTCTACCCTGGCTGATCGCTTTTTTTTGTGAACAAACGAAATTGATCGACTAAATTATGTTTTCGACTTCTGTTTCATGCCTTTGTTTCGTTCCATTCTTTTCTCCCAAATTATTGGGTTGCCGGTGCAAATGGTATATACTAAATTTTTTTTTTGGGCCCCTCAAAAATTTAGGCCCTGTGCCTATCCTATGCACATATTGCACTTGGGCTAAGCCGGCCATGGTTAGAAGGACAAAATTGTAGTTCTGCACAAAGTGACGTGGTAAAACTCTAAAAATTTAGAAGTTTACTGTTCCCATACGTGTTAGGATTTAATATATGTATATAATAAGTGATATTAAAAGTATTTCTACTTTTAAAGGTTGGAAGAATTTTCTTAAAAAAAAAAAAAAAAAAAAAAGAAGGACTATGTATAATTGATTTCCGAAATGGCTACTTTGAAAATGGGTTGTTATTTCCAAAATAATTTGGTTATTTTTGTGATACCCAGAAAAAAAGTCCACATAAAGCAAGCAAATTTGTTATTTTAATTATAAATTATCCTAAATCCTAAACGAAAAAATCTACGAAGTTAGTAAAACAATCATATTTATTTTGTATCTACTCTAATAAATGAAAATTCTTTTGTCATATATCACACTCTCACTGATTTGATCACATGTTATTTTGTGGTTATTTTCAATTAAATTTTTTCCATATGGCATTTTGTGGTTTTTTTTATTTTATTAAATTTCACATAATATTTAAATGTAATAATTGTAATAAATGTAATAATAAATGAATATCAATTTCATTAATTGACTTCCTTCTAATTTTAAAATTTCTAAATTAAAATTTTATTAATTTCCTTTGTTTATTTATCTAAATTATTTGTTTAAATTTAAAAAAATAAAAAAACACTTTAATTTTAATAATTCAATATTTTTCTAATTTTTCTTATAAATTCAAACTTCTTAAATGTTTAGAATTTCATATTAAAATTTTCTTTTAAATTAATTTATGTAATACATGAGTTTTACACCTAGTATATTATATCAGAAAATAGATCATAGTTCTTCAATATTTTATTTGACATTCTCATTTTATTTTCTTCATCATCCTATTTGGTTTTCATCAATACGTTAGAATATTTTATAAATGAGTTTATATATTATATAATGTTTCAACTTTAAATTATGTCAAACGTGAATTCCGAGTTTTAAAAGCATATTGAGTTCGACATAATATCACTCAAAGTTCATCTAAGGCCATAAGGTATACCAACAACGCACCTAACAGTGAGGTGAACTGGCACCCGGAGGTGCGATGAACACCATACCGTCTGGTATGCGGTGAAACGGTCCCCCGCGAAAGAAGAAAGCACAACACTTTTTTTTATGTTTTATATCATTGTAGGATACAACATTTCATTTGTTGTATATTTTGAGGTAAGTAAGAGGTGGTCATTTCCTCTCAGGGCCTGAGAGTATGAGATGATTGCGAGTGAAGAATGATGTAATGATGAAATGACATGGAAAAAATAAGATGCAGTGAAAAAAATATACCATTTAACCTAACTGACTAAGGTACTGTTTGTTTTTTCAAAGCGAAAATTCATGAAGTCTGCGGACCACCTCTGCAGTCCTCTGTAGCAGAAGAGGTGGAACAAACGGCTGCAGTCCATAATAAGAAGCATGTTTGTTTTTTAACATCTGTAGACTGCTGCAATAAACTGAAATTTAAATAAACTAATTTTATAAACTGAAAATAGTTTTCAACACCGAAATTTTAATAATTCTAGTATTAAAACATTGAAAGAGTACTAAAAAGAACATATAAAAAAACAAAAATATAAAACTTTTTTAAAAAAAACTTACAAAAATATAAAAAAAGCTAACAACTTTATTCTAGAAAAAACTAATTTTAAAAAACATAAAAAAGAAAATAATAAAAAAAATTAAGAAAGTATTGCAAACGATATCTACAAAGTTCGTAAAAAATTATACACGTTAAAAAAGATGAAACCGAAACTGAAAATATTATTAACAGAAAAGGTACAAAATTAAAAAAACTCAGTTTTTTTTTTTTTTTTTTTTTTTTTAAATCAAGTTTAAAAAATTTGTGGAAACTATAATAAGAAATTGTATCAAATCCGTAAATAAAAGCTTTTAAAAAAAAAAAAGTTATACCAAAATTCTAAAAAAAACACTCAAAAAATAAAAGCTGAAGATGTTTGAAGAGGCAAGTCAAGTACTGCGCCACGCAGCACACGCGCAGAGGTTTTGCAGTCTGAACTTTTCCAAAAAACAAACTGTTGCAAGAGGGAAAATGATGCACGTGTGCTGCGCCGCGCAGCAGAAAATGATTTGAAAATGTTTTTTTAAAAAAACAAACAGCAACTAAGTGTCAGAAACACAAATTTTAAAACCCGGTTCGCATTTTATCGAAAGGGATTGATAAACTAAATGCAACGACTTAACATATTTATAAATAAATAATTTGATTTATATTAATATATTAAAAAATGTAACTAAAAAGAAACAAGGCAAATAAGCATTTTGACAATTTACTTTCTTCTAGAAAAAAAAAAGGTTGTGTTCGCTTTTATTACACTTTTATTGTTCACCAATCGAGTCATATGTAATAGCTAAGCAATTTCCCTTTCGAACTAACTCTCTTTCGCATACCGAGTGTGTGTTGTGTTTGATGCTTCATCACCAAGAAAAAAAGAAAAAGCAATACCCCCTTCATCACGTACCCCAAATCCCCAGATCAAATATTATAAAATTTCAATCAGTTAACTATAAAATCGCAATCGAATCAATCACGGAGAAGAGAATTTTTGAAAAATTGGAGAACAGTAAGAGTTTGTACCTGTACCTGAAACCACCATGGACGACGATCAAAATCAAATCCCGGTGTTAGACCTCCGGCAATTGAAAGTCTTATCGGCGCTAGGTCGAGGAGCCAGGGGCGTCGTGTTTCTGGTCCAAGACGAGTCGTCCAATGGAGATTTGTTTGCTTTGAAGACGATTTTGAGAGCTTCCATTAAGAAGAATGTTAAGAAGACAGATATCATTGGTAATGAGAGTAAGCAGATTTTCTTTGAGCAGGAGGTGTTGCGACTATCACAGCATCCATTGCTACCGAAACTTCGTGGAGTTGTATCCACCGAGAATATCGTGGGGTACGCCATTGATTATTGTCCCGGGCGTGATCTCAATTGCCTTCGTAAGAGACAAACGGAGAGAATGTTTTCCGATGACATAATCAGGTGAATTTTGTGTCTTGTTTTGGAATTATGAAGTCAACTCTGTAAACGCATTGTTCAGATGTTTTACTTTTGGATTTCAGATTGGAGATGCTAACTGAATCGATTTTAATCTACCCGAGTTGCTGTTTAACTTTAATCAAATGTTTATATAACAGTAGTCTCTTTGATTTTGTGATTTTAGGTTTTATGCAGCGGAGTTGGTGATTGCATTGGAGTATCTTCACGGATTGGGGATCGTTTACAGAGACTTAAAGCCAGAAAATGTAATGATTCAGGAAAACGGACATCTAATGCTTGTCGACTTCGATCTATCAACCAAATTATCACCTAAACCTCCGTGCGAAGCTCGATCACCAAAAACCACGCCGTCGCTGTCACCGACGACATCCGAGTCATCAACGAATAACAAAAACCGATTTTCATTTTTTTCCAATTGTTGTCGCCCGGCCATTCCGGCGGAGGACTCGGTACATCCCACCGCCGAGTCAGTCGACAACTCAGTCTCAGAACCAAATTGCGAGCCTCGTCACTCCTTCTCAAAATCAAACTCCTTCGTCGGAACGGAAGAGTACGTTGCGCCTGAAATGCTACAAGGAAACGGCCATGATTTCTCGGTGGACTGGTGGTGTTTAGGCGTCGTTTTGCACGAGATGTTGTACGGGAAGACGCCGTTTAAAGGAATAAACCGAAAGGAGACATTTTACCAAATTCTGTCGAAGACGGCGGAGGTCGTCGGAGAGCCGACGCCGTTGAGAGACTTGATTCGAAAGTTGCTGGTGAAGGATCCGAAACAGAGAATATCAACGACAGAGATCAAGGGCCACGATTTCTTCCGGGGAGTTGACTGGGAAGGACTGTTACAAATCAGTAGACCACCATTTGTTCCGGGAACGTCCGATGAGGATGTGGATGTGGATGGCATGGATGTAAATAAAATCGATATTGAGGCTTTTGTTCAAGGAGTGTTTCAAGTCGATGATTCTGACGTCCAAATCCGTGAGAAGGAACATGACAACGCTTTCTTGCCTTTCTAACAGATTTTGGCGGTGATTCAATACTTTTATGGTAAACTTTTATTTATTATTTCTCTTTAATTTAATTAAAAACAAACCGTACAAAGAACAATCAGTTACAGTATTTATGAATATAATTATAAATCTTATACACGATTTTGTTTAAATTCTTTTATTTCGGTTTTAATGTTAGGTTAATATTATAAAAATAATATATTTTCAGATTATTTCTGTTTAAATATAAAAAAACAATTTATAAAAAGTTGTAATAATAATTATAGCGATGGAGGTGACAAGAAGATGCAAAATAGGGTTTGAAGAGAGGGTGGAGGTAGAAACAAAAATAAAGACGACTGAATTTTATTAATCCAATGTATAAATTAAACAAATGCATAAGTTAAGTTGAGTGTGTTTTATGTGGTACCTCACATGAAATTAAACAAATACATTAAATGAAAAACCACATTGTCAACTATAAAACGATAATGTCACGAGAATTAAATTTCGGAATTGCTTTCAAAGCCACATTATTTTGGTACATATGGCATGATCTCAACAACATATTCTTATCCTAATCCTTAAAATGAAAATTTGTATTTTATCTTTATTATTATTAGATAAAAGTATCATATCATATTATTTTGAAAACAATTACATAAATGGTCCTTTTGTTGGCAGAAAATACCACAAATTCCTTTTGAGAAATTTTGAATATAGATGGTTTTTGTTGTTTAATTTTCTTACATGGTTGATCCTTAAGACTAACGACGTTAAAAAAACACTGTTAAATACATATAAAATTCCTAATTTACCATTTCTCTTTTTTCGTTATTTTATAATTAATCCTATAAATATCGTTTATGTAATCTCTATATATTTGAGGATAAATAAAAAAAAAACCCATCCCTACCCATGGTTGTTTCTGTGAACCATCCCCGCCACCATTGATTCTTGTCAAACAAAGTACATAGAAGGAGATATAAAGAGGCAGTGGAAGAGGAAGTTGAGGAAGGGTGGAGCTCCAACGGACGTTGCACCATTATTTGCTAATTTTCACCACCGCTCAACCTTCCATTTCCAACCAGATTCTCCTAGTTCAAATTCAAAATTTCCTATCGACAATAAAAAAACTTCACCTCAGCATAACATCTAAGACCTCCAATAGCTCCACCACCACCGCCATCCACAAATCATCTTTCTCTACCATCACCACCTGGATCACCTCATTAACCTCCTCCATAGCGTTATCTAATTCTTATCCAACTGCCTATCCATCAACTTGTCTGTCATATTCACTAACCAATACAACAACGTCGTTGTTAAACTATCATGTATCATCGACATAGCCATCCCTATCTCCGACTTTTTCATCGATCTCTACATCTGCGATCTCTATATATAGGGTTGTAAACAAACTGAAAGTTCGGCGAACCGTTCGTGAACTGTTCGGCGGGAAGTTCGTTTATCTTCGTTTATTTAATAAATGAACGAACATGAACACAAATTCTTGTTCGTTTAGTTAAACGAACAAACATGAACAATAGTCTCGTTCGTTCATTTACGTTCGTTTATGTTGTTCGTTTACGTTCGTTTATGCTCGTTCGTTTAAGTTTTTTTATGTTCATATATTTTCAATGGTTTTTTTTATTACATAACTATATTATAGTTCGTTTATGTTCATATATGTTCAATTGTGTTTGTTTATCTTTGTTCGTTTATGTTC